TATGGTCTGATTGTCACCAGCAGTCTTTCTTTGAATACACCACATTACCCTTTTTACTGAGAAACGACAAACTGTGTAGTCTTTGTTACTACAAAATGCACTGGAATCTTCCGTTTGCTATTACAAGTGGTTTGCCTTTCACGAAATACAATAGAGATGTCCAATAAACTGAAGGAGAACGCTCCAGATCTCTCATCACGGGAATTTGGTATAACATCTGAGGGCATCCAACTTATAGATTATCTGGCTCGAAGGGGGCGTTACTTGCTCGAAGTGTAGCGCCACCACCGGCAGCCGGCTTAAATCGTTCAGTCGCCCGTCGTCTTTCGTCCAGGTGTCGGACAGGCCGCCGCAGTTACAACGGGACGCCGCGTTTCCTCCAGCACAAGCTACGGAAACAAATGGAAATAAATGCTGGCTTTGAATTTTAAAAGTACTTCCTTACACTGGGGAATAACTTCATGAACACTTTTCGCAGAGGAAACCTGCATCTGGCGCACTACAACAGGGCATTTCTAAACCTTTCCTTCACCGATCCTCTTGGAATTTGTATCTTAAATTTTATCCTTGCAATTTTATAGATGTTCCATACAAACGGAAATTACTTGCATCGTTCGGTCGAAAGTAACAACAAAGTCTACAGCTCCTCAAAGTAACAACAAAGTCTACAGCTCCTCAAGCCGAAGGATTTTTTATTGGGCCAAGTATTCCAAATTTGTGTGAATGCGAAGCAAGAGACGGGAATATCACTCTGCTAACGATCAAAGATTCAGCTGGGAGAAACACACATTTGTGGGCAATGGCTGCGGCCCATGCTATTGGCGTCCACAAACAAAGGGGTTCATTTACAGTCGCAGCCACATAGGATACTGCTCTATTTAGTCGATATCTTTCGCACAAACGCAGTGGTAGCTTTAATTTGCGCGAGTGTTGATCGCGGTCATGAGGTGTAAGTGTTGGCCGAAACGGTTGACCATGAAGGAAATTCTTGGCCACCTAGGTTGCCCCTTTGGACAAATTGCCCTTTCTTGGAGGAACTGAAAGTGCCAATATTTTAGAAACGGGAAGTCCATCATCAGAATCCCGTGTGGAACAAGGATGGAAACTTACTTCCGGTTGAAAAGCATCTACATCCTTCGTTGCCAGTCGCTTCCCCAGCCCAATTGCTCATCTGGCCACCTTGGGCCGACTCCCACCAAGCCAGTTGATCGATGCCGTCCCATAACTTGGCGTTCCAGCACTCGGCCTTCAGGAACTGGTTGCAACTCATTGAGACAGCCATTAGAGCTTCAATCTGCCGTCCAACAGAAAAAAAAACGGATGGTGACGCAATTAGATTAGGTAAACTGTGGTGAACACAATAGCAGGGTGCTATTTGGTTTGTGTAAATCCTTTATTTTTACGTCAGAGTTACCCTTAACTAGCGCCCATACTGTGTCCGCCAAACTTCAAAAAAGGTTAATGGTCTTCACAACCTTATCATGAAAGCGTTTCTTGGAAGTCAACATTTCCAGAGCTCCTTTTGAGGAATTTGCAAAAAGTTTAAAAATACCCTTGCCAGCGAGTGTCGATTTTAAATCGACTGAAATCATAAGAAGGGGTTATATGTTGGCAAAAGTCTTCTTCTCGATTGTCTGCCTGTCCTAGATTTTATTCCGGGGGGGCGTGGAAGTCGATTTCCTCTGGTCATCTCCCAGTACAGCTGATGAGCAACAATGTAAAACCGGATCAAACATTATCTTACCTGGTCTTGGTTGGCGTAATAGCTGATAGTCACGTCATATGGATTTGACGTCACATTTAATGACTGGCCCGATGTTGTATGGTCCACGGTTGTCCACCCAATCGCTTTATTGCAAAAAACAGGAACAATGTTGAAATTTGGCGATGACTGTACATTCCAACCTATACATTTCTGTAGGAAGTGTTCACGAAGGACGACTTTGGCTACGGGGCACTGAACAATGGTTTTAAGAAAATTGAGTTTTTACCCCATCAGAGGCCTAAAAAAACGAGGGAAAGAAGACAAGAAATGTAATTTATTTTCAAAATTCGGGTGCTGGGAGAACCTTTGAGAAAACTCCGAGCAGTGAAACCCTGGCGATCAGTTACAGACTGAAAACCCAATACTACATTCCAATGAGTTCATTGCAGGAAGGGTTGTTTTTCTTTAATTCCAACGCTGACTTCTTACCTGCCATGCTCGAGCAGTGTACGCGGAATGGTTCTTCTCCGGTGCCTATTCCATCTGGATCAATCATGTAATAGCCGTCGGTGGTGTACCCAGCCTGTCTGAGCGCGGAGCATGATTCTCGAATCATACCTAGATAGCATTAGTAAAATTAATTCTCATAGTCTAATACAGCCATGACCCTGATCCTTTTAAGGTTAGGGGCACAAGTAAAGATTTATCCAACGTGTTTGCTTTTGTAACTGATTGGTTGAAAGTTGAGGGCGCTTCCTGCAATATATTACCTTGGGTGCACACTGACGCTTTACAAATACTTTTGTGCGATTTTTTTATAAAGCATGCTTACTAAAATGTATTACATGTATAACTAAAGCTGGACTTTAGTTATACTTTAGTTCTGCGATTAAAGAAGTTGAATTTGAAAACCCTCAGGACTTTAGACGACCCATGAGGCTGTGATGTATAACCAACATAAAGTCTTCGTTACTCGAGGATACAGGAAAATAAACGAACAGAAAACTATAAACGTTGAAGTAATTCGATACAAAAGAGATGTTGGGCACTCAATCTTCGATTTGTTTTGAATTTGCCACGTCATTGTCGCGTTTATGCGGAAGTTCCTCAGCCTCATATTCCTCAATCCTCGCCCAAAACAATTCTGGGTGAAAGTATGACTTCATTTACCTGTTGGTATCACAGAACCATCTGTAGTCTGTTCGATTGTGCTTGGTTCTGCCGTGGTCTGCTCCATTGTAGTTGGTTCTGTTGTCGGTTCTTTTGTAGTGGGCTCCGACGTAGTTGGTTTTGTTGTTGCTGGTTCTGTGGTTGGTTCCATTGTAGTGGGCTGCATAGTAGTTGGCTCTATTGTAGTGGCTTCGGTGGAACGTGCTTCCACTGTAGTTGGTTCAGTTGTGGTTGGTACCATCGTAGATGGTTCCACTGAAGACTGAACCACGGTGGTGGTTGCCTCTACTGAAGTAGATTTGGTTGTAGTTGGTTCCCTTGTGGTTGGCTCCGTTGTAGCCGGCTTTGTCGTAGTTGGTTGAGTGGTAGTTGGCTCCACTGTACTTGGTTCTATAATGGTTGGTTCAATTGTAGTTTGTTCAGTGGTAGTTAAATCCATCGTTGCTGGTTCAGTTGTAGCTGGCTTTGTAATTTGTTCCGTTGTTGTTTGCATGATTGTAGTGGAAAAGGCAGTTTTCAGATCTTCAGTCTTTTGGTTCTGCAAAAATAATTGAACATGCCTTTTTTTATTAAACTACGATTCACATGACTGTCATTTGCAATTGCATTTGTTCGTTTTCAAACCCACCTTTACAATCTCACTGAGAATTAAAAAAAATATAGTTTAAAAAACAGCTTTCAAGAATTATACCAGAATTATCTCCTGTTATTTGTCACATTGTCAACAATCATGTTATTTTCACACCGGTGTTATCATAAGTAATTACTAATCTGAATCATGTGATAACAAATCTCACCATGATTTCGTAGTATTTGAAGCGGTCATCTGTCTCCAGCTTCTCTGGGTCGCTACGGCTAGTGTTCCGATTCAGCTCGCAGAGGCGAAGGTTCTTGGCATAGTTGAAAGAGACACAGTGGGAATGCTGGGAGCAGAGAGCTGAACATCGTACGGCCGAGCCGACTGCCGATCTCTCGGTGAAGGCGCTCCCCGTGAGTCGGCTGTTTTGCTGCATGGTAAAATGGTGTTGGATTTGGCTGACCTGGCAGACAATAAGACGAGCACTCGTAAAAACGCACAAGAGTGCGACAACAGTCTTCGATGATATAGCCATTCTGGCGAGTAAACGATTATAGACAACAGCGGCAAAATCCCACATAAAAATATTTCCAAGATAGCTGGAGCCTTTTCAAATCCTACAGTTTCATCAGTATTCCTCGCAAAAATAAATTTATGTTTATCATCAAAGCGCAAGCTGAGTTTGTGGCTTGCCACTATTGTTTCCATTCGTGGAAAAGGAAAATTAGTACTGTACGTGTACTCATTACAAAAAGTACATTTTGTTAGAATAAAGAATGTTTGTTATTGTTGAAAAATCTTTACCGAGTGCTACTAAGAAAGTAGTTCATTCATTGAAATTTAATCTGTGTTTGAACTTTTGTTTGAAAGGTTTTCAACGAAGTACTACTGATCGGACTGGAATTAATATGTTATAGCTTTCCCCTATGTATAAATTGCTAAAAAAAAACCTCCTTTCTGCAAATTTTGAAGGAAATAAAGAATGAGCAACACAACTTCAATTTCTAGTGGCCAATTCAGCAGAACTGCGTGCTTACAATACGTTAGCCTTGATTGGCTGTTTCTATCCTTACGACATTGCCCGTTTAATTAATGGAAGATTCGATACCACAATTAACGTCGAAGGGGTGTCCAAGGTTTGGTTCTTGAGTTGGAGAGGGGGTGGGATAGAAATAAAAAAAAGTAACTATTGGAAGTCACCGTTTATGCATCCCAGTATCACCACAGCGTTAATTACTTTGTGCTTGAATTCATTGAGTTGTTGACATTTTAAGCGCTTCTCAGGAACCAGCCGTACAGTTTTCAAGTCAAAGAAAGGTTTCTTCCTTCGTGTCCTCAGTACAATTTTCCATTTGTGTGGCATTAAAAGTTTCACACCACCCTTAAGAAAGCTTAAGATACGGTGTTAAGATTGGTATTGCATTTTCAACAGGTGCTTCGCTTTCAACTCTTCTGAACACATTACATAAGACGGTAAGGCTTAGAAAAACCCGAAGAAAAAAAAAACTTTCTTTTGAAATCCTTGTCAGAAGGTAAACTGAACTTGACCACTTAAGTCTTATTCTTAAAGCTCGCATTTTTCTTTTGGACGGTGCGCTGTTTTCGTTCTGCCTAGCCACACACCGTATCGCAGTTCTATGTTGCCATCACTCACAGTTGAAATACACGTTAATTCGCGTCTTCCTTACTGACGGTTTACACTTCAGGCTGATGCAAAAGCGAAGTTAATTTTCCTTTTCTTCCAAGCATGTAAATATCCTGTGAATGTAGCCTTACCCCGAAAGTTTGGATCTGGATCCGTCCTTGGTCAAAACCCATGGCAAGTGCATTGTCACTCAATAAAGTACAACACGTCAATTAAAGCAATTCTGAAGCTGTTGGATTTCACACTAATCTATCTTTTTAATATGTCACAAGGATTTGATAAAATACTTAACAAATAACACACAATTTCGAATAAAATAACGTTTATGGCCAAACCTATTTGAATTTTTTTTTCTATTTGAAGAATTCCCTCACATATTCGTCCTTTTCACGCCTTTGAAACAGATTCTACTCGCTAAACCTCTCTGAGTTTTTTCCCCCAAATCACACTGTTAGTACTTTTCTTCTAATTAAGCTCAAGCATATACCCTAGCCCGAAAGAATACTTGATTTACGTGTCAGTCACACTTGAATTGAAAGCGAGGCTAATATTTTGGGGGAATCTTGAAGTAAAATGACGCAATGAAATAAAAGTAAATTCAAAACGTTTGATTGTATGTCATTGTTTTCATCCACATTTACAAACTGAAACAGAGGCCTGGAACTGGAATCCCAAATAGTCTGGCACCACCTCCATTTAATAGATCACATCTTATAAGAGATTCGGGAATCATAATCTAAAATGGCTTCCATGTTAAAAAGGTCTATAGAGATTCGTAGTCAGTAAATGAAAACAAAGTGCGAGACGGAAACTTCCCACGTACGACAGTTCCACTTAACATTATTGACCAAGGTCGTTCTTGCTCCCCCAATGGAGCTGGGCTTTCTAAGTAATGTTGAGATAATTGGACATCTTTTTCAAGGGGCTAAGATTGATTTTCATACCCTTGGTTGAAAATTGGTATCGATTAGGTGCTCTTCAAGTGAACACAAGGAGGTGATACAAAACGACAAGAGGCCGTCTGTTATGTTTGAGAGATCACACACACCAGCGGCCATTTAATAAAAGGGCCCAAAAACGTTTATGACGAAAACCTCGTTCTGTTCCGTAAACCCAAATTTCGGGCCGGCCCCTTGAAAAGGAACTACCATATGGACGAGCCAAAGGGGGATTTCTGCTGTAACAAAATGACCCTATTGTGAAGATACAACATTAATGTTCGCTATGTTCTAAACCAAGCAACACTGTTCAAAACTAATAAACTTTAAATGGGAAACATGGAGACATAAAATGTCAGAAAGTCATGCATGTAAGCACGTAATTACGTGAACATGTAACAAAGCTATTTGTATTTGCGTTCTAGCCCTTCCCCCAAATCTCTTATTATTCTACTTCATTTTTGTTTGAATAAAGAAGCTATGTTCAATATAGGAGACAATATTTGTGTACTCGTACTCAAAATCCTTTTTTATTTTCACGGTGAAAGAACTAGATGAGTAAAACGACTTCGGTTACACCATGTATAAATCTCTTTCTTGAGTAGGTGTGGTTCTGAGAAGAACCGGGAAGGCGACGTTTCGAATAGTGCACTCTGTCCGTCTTCAGGAGACTGCCTGTCCTTTTTTATTCCTGTACTAATCAATACTCATACATATATAAATGTACCCGTTATAGACCCTATTCACTAGAAAAAGCCCTCATGTTTGTGTTCATACCCATGCAGAACTACTAGTGGCATAAATTCGAGCTGCAAATTGGGAGTAGTGGTTGTGGGTCGTGGGGGAGGGCTTGCCCTGCCATGGAACTTTGAAAGAATGCGGGGGAGGGGTCGCTGACACCATGTGACACTAGTGGGCGATGTTTGCTATACATTTTGCAATCAATATGTATTCCACCCCTGGGGAACCTTATGTAAACACTGCTTATTAAGTGGCTCTAAGGAATTGTTGTCCCAGTCTGACTGCCATTGAATACATTTTGGTTAGGAAGTTCCAACAAGTTTTCATAACCACCTCATTTATTTTCAACTCCGAATAAATGTGCGGTAACCCTGCATACCTATGGCGTGGACTTGCGAACAAAAGATGTCCACGCGATGCAGGAAGAGAAGACGTTCTGTGAACTTAAAAAAAAAATTGTTTACAGGCATTTTGGGTTACGGTTATCAGTGGTAAACTTAACAAGAACATTAAAAACATTATTTTTACAGAAATCCTGCTGAGAATCGTTTTCCCGATTCAAGAAAAATGAATATGTCATTCGAGTTTTCTTAACTGCACGAAAACTAGTCATGCACCGTAAACCGGTTGTAGGTTTGTGTCTGAGGATTCAACAGCCCATCCCCTGGTAAAAAAAAAAAACAGTGGGAGATACACACATGTATTTCTATTCCCCGGGATTCATGCCCATGGGAAGTATTCCAAGGATGTACTGGATGGGACACTTTTCCTGACAACGGCTTCATTTAAAAAACCAAACAAATGCCACTTTGGAAAGTATTTAAAGAAAGGACATGAGTGTGAACCACTGGACACAATTCCATTATATTTATAATCTTTGCAATTAAGTTATGAATAATTATTTCCAACTCAAAATGTCCATCTTGCCCCACGTGATTGGGGCTCGATGGGACGATTCCAAACTGATTTCCCTATAGCTTAAGTTAATGTACAGATTTTTTACCATGCTTGTTATTTGCAAGGCAAGGGATACATTGCGGTTGCATATTAATTATTAGTGGTCCGTTCTTGGGGTTTGGAGATAATTTAATCGTTTCCTTTAATTCTTAAGTCCCTTGGGAAACGGGTTTAACTAAAGGAAGGCATAATTCTTTAGCAATATCACACCGTGAAATTTCCTGAGGGATATGATAAGCACAAAAGTTGCTCGACAAATGTAGGCCAACTGAAACTGCATGAAATTGTGATTGGGCACTGTCCCATCTTGCCCAAGACGACCTGTCCCATCCTGCTCTACATGCATGCAGTTATTTTATGAAGCCACTGTAAAACACATGCACAGAGTTGAATACTTCTGGCTCTTCTGTGACACAATAGACTAATAACCTGGCCAAACTACGCGATATTACCACTCTGTACCGTACTGTGATTTGCTAGGGATCGCTAAACATCTTACTAACGTGAAATGTCCCCCAATATAATTTTTTTCGATTTTTCCGAGAAGACTCAAGACCAACTCAACGTATTTGTGATGCAAATATGACTGTCTTGTGTCGGTTTATTCACAGCACTGTGTCACAGCGCCATCTGTTGCTTGCTGATAAAGTTCTTAAGCTGTCCCATCTTGCCCCGTGTCCCATCATGCCCCACCTACTATCTATTGCGATCTCCTTATTGATGTACAATTCCTCGGCTAATGTTGTATCTGATATCAACACTAAGAATTCAATTCTAAAATAGTTTCAACAGGCCACAGAGACTCACGAAGTGACGAAAGTCTTCTTAGCTGGTCTTTCTCAGTTCCCTCAGCAACAGGGGCAGAATTTCCTATAGGTCGCCCAGGAGAAGCGAACATCCATGATCGTACACTTCTTTACCCCATATCGAGAGGATCGAACACGGTTAGCCTGTGGGCGCTGTTGCGCACTGCAACCTGCCCAAGTTGTAGTAGAGCTCATTGGGTGGTGCAGCACTGTCGAAGTGAAGCGCCTTCACTGGCAGCCGCGCCTTGTCGACGATGAAGCCACCATCCGTGTGCCAGTGATTGGCGTATGCGCCACAGTTGCACCGAGAAGTCGGGTCACTACCAGCACAGGCTGAAATCAAGCATTGAGAGATTCGAGGGGTTACCAGTGAATCGTTAAAGAATTATCCAAGATTTGACGAGTTGGTACAGAATTGTAACGGTAAGACTCATATGCGGTCGACGCCCTATACACCACCACCGGTCAATTTTCAACGAAAAATGAGCACAGAGTCGTCACCGACACCACGAACTGCCACATTTTCGTCCGTGAGGTAATCTTGTAGGTCTATGTGTACATTTTAGAGAATTGAGTTACTTTCGTTTTCACGAACTGACATCCTGTACAGCGCAGCACTTCCAGCGCACACTGTGTGCATTTAGTTTCACGAACTAATACTAACCTGATTTCACTAATTGAAACAGATTTTAACTAAATTTGGAGGTAAGGCAGCAAGTATATAGATGTATTAAATTCATGTCAAACTTTTCAAAGCATTTTTCTCCTCGCTGTATTGCCGTAACAAGTTTGGGTGTTCCGGAAACAAAAAAAAACTTTTCAGTTGCAGTTTTCGCAGCGCGGGCACTGACGGGTGCTAGCGCGCGTACTGACAGGTGCTAGTTCTTGAAGCTGAAATTGTTAAAAGCGCAGTTTTCTTGAACCGACACACACTTGCAACTGAGTGTCAGTTCGTGGTGTCGGAGACGACATGTATCTAGGCAAACTTGGCCCACAGTCATCCCCTAATAAATGACTGAACACGGTCCAGTCTCTGGGTTACGTCAGTTGGTCAGTTAGTCGAACGCCAGTCCGCTAAAAGAAAAGCCAACTGCATTGAGCCCCGAGCTGGAACCAAGAGATGGCGCAATTTTCCTTGCAAGAGTTGCTCCTTTTAATAGTCGGAAGTGCACTTCGCGCAAACAACTATAAAATGCGCACGTTATGGTTGCGTTGCTACCAGCAAATGAGCACTTTGGTGTCTTCTATTTTCAGCCAATGAGGGGTATACTTATGGTCGAGGTGGATTAAACCTACACTGTAAAAAACAGTTGGGCAAAACAGTGTTGGGCATTTCTAATTTGCCCAACCTTGGTTAAAGCTACATCACTGTTGGTCAAATATTGACCAGATATTGGGAAGAATGTGCCCAAAGGTTGCTAAGTTGATATTTTTACCAACATTGGGCAAAATACCAACCCAAAATTGACCAACCTTTTTACAGTGTATAAGTGGCTGCAAACGCACTTTAATAGCTCGTGGTGGTAGGGTGTCCACAGAATGGCTGTAAATCACGTGTTATGTTCGTTCCACCAAATGCTATACATGACCTATTGCACATCCCGTGACTTCTTCTATCCCTCATGCAGCCTTCAGAGAGGGTTTCACTAATGGAGTCATCCGGGCACAAATGTAGCTAGAAAAGACAACTGACACGTCATTTTTGCTGTGTGGTAGTTATGCAGCCTCTTAAACTGGGACTTGGAGGAACTTGCGTTACACAGTTTTGTATGAGAAACGCCAGTGTAAAGCGTTTGAAGTCTTTAATCTCTCTAAATCAACGTATTGTTGCACAGATTTATCTGAACTAATTTTTTTAATGGGATGTCGGCCAACTCGTTCATTCAGAGACCGAGAGGAGGGAGGGAACGTTACCCTTCCTAGCACAAACAATGGGAAAAGAAGAATGAGAGAAACTTGAGAAAAAATGGAAAAGGTACAATGATTATAAAGATGAACAAAGAAATTGAGTGGGGCGGGATTTGAAACTGCGGCCTCCGGAATACCGTACGGGTCCTCTATCAACTGAGCTATACAGCCCTATGTTGGTGGCTCTTCCCATTTGTCAATATCTGTTCGGGGGTTGCTAGACAGAAGCCATTAAACCTGAAACACCATGTAGCCAGGGATCACACCCCAATAACACAAGACAACCTGGGAAGTGGTGAACAGGGATCACTCAAAGGGGATACGGCTTTTTGAACATAAATCATGAAACAAAATTATGTAGGGAAACTGACCAGGTGCTTTCAAATGATTATAAAGATGACCAAAGAAATTGCTTACAAATCATTCTAATTCAAAGGTTAAATAAGCAGATTGCGAAGTGAAACATTAATATTGAAATGGTCTCTTTTAACAAAGTCTTCAAAGGCTACCATAGAAAAAAAACCAATTGGGTAATCGATGAGCTGAGTTGATATTGACCGTTAATTAAGTTTTAGGTTGGCATCACTCAGACTTAAACAAAATGGGTTGTGATGGGCAATTTATATTGCTCCGTTTACATATGTCATCTTCATCACAATCAAAGTGAAAAAGAGGACACAACAAACATGAAAACCGTCGTTTACGACACGTCTCATGAGTTATTTTGCTTATTTATATGGGAAATATGGACATTATACAAGTCTAGAAAGCCGCTGTAGTTATGTCGCGTCGGCGCGGCATTTATCAGACATCAGTAGCTATAGTTTATGTAGTGCGTACAAAAAAGTTTCACTGTTTTCTTGAAGTCAAAACGAGTGTGCCTGCTATTAATGGTAAGAAATGTGTCTGTAAAGTTGTTTTTAGAGAGAAAACCCACTTAAAAACATTAAAACATAAAATGTTGTTGAGGGCGTGAAAATAGAGGCGGGCTGTGATGAGCACCTAATTCAAAATAACCAGTAATCATTGAAATTCCCATTGCAGGCAATCAGTAAACCAGTCAATACCTCTCCCTGTCTTAACTGGCATACTTACATCCAAAGCAGCTACAACCTTTGATACCAAACGCCGCCCCGGCCCAATTGCGCATCCTTGTGCCATCATTAGCCACCCACCATCCCAACTGCGTCTCGCCTATCCACAAATGGGCGTTCCTACACTCGGCAATGAGTCTCTGACGACAGCCGGAAGAGATATCAACCAGTGCTTGGATCTTGTGGAGATGTATATACGAAACATTAAAGCCTTAATTGAATGACAATTTTGAAAAAGATTAAATTGAAAACTACCCACCGCCATTATTAAACAAGGCTCTTAAGCAGCAAAATGTCAGCATGGACTGAGAGTATTATCGTATTATGTGGTATGAGTGTCACGATAATAAGAGAGGCTCAAATAAATTGTTAACGTGTTAAAGTGAGCCTTTTCCCCATGATTAAAATAAACTTGAAGGTCACAAAGCCGGGCAGTAAATAAATAACTTTTAAAAGGTGATTTTTTTTTCAAAATGCCGAGAAAAACCGAAGGAAGAGATGCAGAAAGGGTAACCTCTTGAATATGAACCAAGGATTTTCTCAGCAGTAATCTTTTCCCTTGGTCTAGATAGACAATGCAGATAAATTTACTTTCGCTTTTAAACCCTCTTCTGTCCCAACAACCCAACATTAATGTTGCTGAAGCAGTTACGTAACTCAGATGCATATTATAATTCCCGACCGGCACGCTTCGTACCATTGCATTTTAAAGTAAAAGCATCGTTTACTAACAGCGCAGTGGGTAGTCTGATCGGATGCCAACATTGTTCTCGTGGGTATAATTTGCCTCCATAGATTTTTAAAAAATACCAGTTTGATTCCCGACAGGACTTGTCCCATCGCAACCCATGGTAATTTTTAGTCAAACGTTTAAATCTTTAAACTATCTACAAGAGACGCGAAACATATGCAACAAAATTCAATGTACAAAATTCCACCGGGTGTCATGGGGGCTTGGCTAATTCACAAACGGCGACAGGTTCGTTGCCGCTGACGATCAGGGCTTCAATTATCGCAAAGCAATCGCTGTTTTCAACAGCAAATGTGCTTGAGCATCGCAACGTGGCAGAACTAAACGTAAAAACTCAGTGGCTTTCAACACACATGTAGTTCAGGGTAGTGGTCAAACTGAGCACGCTGTACAGATATGCATATTTACATTCATTTTATGCATATTCATCCTAAAGCGCCATTCGGCTTCATTTTCGTGACCTCAGTGACAGGACGTGCGCAAGTGTTATCTTGTTTAACTGTTCTGAGTGAACACCGCCAGCCCCCATGGAGTACAAGAACAAATCACCATGAGCTTGAAAAGGTTAAGGATTAACAGTTAATACCTGGTCGGTGTTAGCGTTATAAGCAATCGTAATATCAAATGGGTCAGAAGTCACCCGTATCGCATGTCCAGCGTTGGGATGGTCGACATTGGTCCATCCAGTTGCTGCAGAGAGACAAAAAAATACTCATCCAGTTCCTAAAACATATGGTGTACTATTTACGACACACATTTCTGCCTCTCTCTACCCTCTTCGAAGGCGACGCAACTACACAACGCGATGGCACGACGGCTCTCTTGCTTCCTGTGCCGTGTCGTACCCTTCGAAGGTCGCGTGGTGCTGTCTTACGTCTTTTTCTTCTATTTTCTGCCTAAAATGTCGTTTCTTCCGTCGCCGTCGCGTCGCACTGTCGTGCGTCATGTCGTGTCCTGTATTGCGTTGCCTGAAGCACGACGTGACGCATGACACGACTCACGAGGAGACGCGTCGTGTGATTTCATCCTTGGCTTTGAGGTGTTTGTAGAGGGCGTTTTTGCTGTTTTCTTTCATTTCCGACCATTGCGCTTCCACAGTACATGCTATGAGTAGCAGGCCTTCTGTTGTTTTTCATCATGCATTCTTCCTGACTGTGTGTTTTCATTAAGAGTGAGTTGTTGAAGAGTGAGCTGTTGAAGAAAAGGGTTTTTGTTTGCCTTTTTTAATAAAATATCATTAGAAAGAGTTTCGCGATCAACTATCAACATTGTCTTCAGGAAATAAATAACATTAAGGTCAACCACAACAATGTTTTAGCTTTTCCTGCTCTAGTTTTGATCTTTCTAATAATTATTTGTAAATCTATTCTGACATACAATACATCAATCATTTTTACGTGCTTGCAAAAAGGAAATATGCGGATCTGATGAGAAATTGTGTGCGTGGCCAAACAGAGTTGAAGAAAAGACACCGTCACAATAATAATAGGATTCAGAAACACGGACTGATATCATTGAAAGTCTGGAGCTGATGAAGTTAACGAGGAAAACTGAAGGAAGACTGAAGACAGGTCGTTTCAGGCGACGTAATAGGCGACGCGACGCACGACACGACATACGACGCAACTCAGGACGGTACGACGAGACGGGCGACGGAAGGGGCGACCTTTAGGCAGACAAAAAAGTAACAAGGAAAGGACAAAAGACAGCATGACGCGATGGGCCGCGGCACGACGCATCGTGTAGTTGCGTCGCCTCGAGGGAGGCTATATATAGAGAGAAATATGTGTCGTAAATAGTACGCCATGGAAACAAGTTTTATTCAGCGTAATTTTATGCACATTCCGCCCTTCTTCAATGCATGGAAAAAGTGCCATTCTCTTTTCTTGGGGGGGGGGTAAAGTGCATTGAACAAAGACATTCCCACGCTTTTCCTGAAAACTGTAAAGGAGCCATTACTGTGATTGTAATCTGGGAGGGCAATGTTCATAGTGAGAGTTCTCTTTAAATTTAACCAAAATTTGCTCATTGACAATTCTGGGGAAGAGCTTCCCGTTGACTTATTGTTGGATACTTATCCAACAAGGAATTACCACAAAAAACGAAATCTCAAAATTGGAGTATAAATGTGCACCAAATCACGCACGACAAATTGCTTTACATCAAAACATAATATAAGGTGGTATGTTTTTAGAGTGATGCTGTAAAACAGACATGTGACAACCTGTCAAGGCAAAGGATTAATAACGTCATCTTAGAATCGAGCGTACTTGTCATTTCTGAACAATAAACCTCAAATGGCTCTTCTCCGTTGTGTCCTCCGTCAGGATCAATCATGTAATGGCCGTCGGTTGTGTGTCCAGCCTGTTTGAGTGCCGAGCATGACTGGTGCATCAGATCTGAGGTACGATTAAAAAATTGGAATTGGAATGTGGATTGATCAAGAACCTGCCATTCATCACCCAATTAGTATGTCAATTCATTTTAGAAAATTTAAATGTGGTTGATTTTTCTTCGTTAAAATGGAAAATGCAGCCTCAGGACGAAATCTAGAGATGACGAGTATAGATGTTATTAACTTTAACTGCTTTGTGATTTACCACAAACCTTGTGTCAAACCAATTATCAACATGGCAAAAGGCTCATGAGCGTCACTTTACTAGAACAACAGTAAAATACTCTAAGGCATTCAGATACATGTGAAAACAGCGGCAGATTCAGCTCTTGGAGTCGGGGGGGGTTCGAAGTTGAATCCGGCTCCGGGCTCATTTAACATGATGTTGGGGGATAGTAAATCAAATAGTATTGTGTTTTAAGGGGTTTTGGGAGCCATTAAATATTTTCTAAATAAATATAACAGTTTCTTTCCTAATCACTTATGAAGTATCATTTTGTAAAAAGCCCCCTCCCCGCTGGCTACGCCACTGTGCAACAAATCCAGCTCCTTCGCTTCCTTTTCCCGTTTGCTCACGCTTCGCCTGCATGAAATGCCACATCAAATAATCCAGAGAATTTCAACTTTCTGAAATGGTTAATAGTTTCACCTATAATAATCTGGAACAGTATCTGTACCTGAAGTTGTATGCGTCAGGGTAGTCGGTTCCCGTTTTGCCGACCCTGTTGTGGTTGGTTTCTGTGTAGTGGGTGCTACAGAAGTTGGCTGCTGTGTACTAGATATCGTAGTTGGAGATGCACTATCAGTCGTTGGTTCCTGAGAGGTAGTTGCCCGGGTCGTTTGTTCCTGAGTAGTAGGTACAGAAGTTGTCGGGTCCAGGGTCGTTTGTTCCTGAGTAGTAGGTGCCATAGTTGTCGGCTTCCGGGTTGTTGTCGGTGGAGTGGGTGTCGAGGTTGCCGTTTTTTTGGTTGGCGGTTCCCACGTAGTGGGTGCCGTTGTAGCTTGCTCCTTTGAACTTGCTGCCTGCGTGGTTGATTTTTCTGACGTGGGTTCATCGAAAGTCGGTAGTTGCTCTTTTGAGGACATTCCTTCGGTTAGTTTACCTTCGTTTGCGATGTTCTTTGGGTACAAACAAATCGGATGTTTAAATTTTCATTAACTGATAAGGAAGTTACGTTTATGCAGGTGTCGCTTTATCTCCTTTTAACACGGCGCTTTTCCCAACCACGAGTTTTCTTCTTCTTTTTTTTTTAATGCAGTCGTTAATTTTTCGCATCAAATTTCTTACCATGATTTCGTAGTACTTGAAGCGGCCATCGGTCTCCAGATTCTTTGGGTCGCTACGACTAGTATTTCGGTTCAACTCACAGAGGCGCAGGTCCTTGGCGTAGTTGAAAGAGATGCAGTGGGAATGCTTGGAGCAGAGAGCCGAACATCGTAAGGCCGAGCCAACGGCCGATCTCTCGGTAAAAGTGCTCCCCGCGAGTCGGCTGTTCTCCTGCATGGTAAACTGGCGTTGGAGAAGCTCACTGCCTCCCAGGGAGAAACTAAAAGGAATGAAAACGCACAGGACTGGAAAAAACCCTGTGCATGCTTGATCTGCCATCTTATTTTGAAATAATGACAAAACAATGTTTTAAAAGTAGTGCTACAACAATTTTGTACACATAGGCAAGAGACACTGGTAGCAGTTGATGGAAGGCTTCATATCGATTTCAGCTAATTTCTCCAACAAATTAACTCCGATGTTTCACTTAATTAAAACCCATAGAAAACATGAAATCGTGATAGTTAGCTGCGACAAGGGCGTTGCAGTTTTCCGATGGCTACGCCGTTTTTTTTCAACATGTTCTTAATTTTTCATTAGTGAATTCTGTCTTGCATATAGAAAAGTTGCCTTGAGAGTAAATGCCCAGCTCTTGCAAATAAATTAGTATCGACTGGGCTGATGGTCGGAGTGCGCTTAAGATAAAGCACTCAGAAATTACCTGGACGTGGCCCCACAGTGGTTTCTCATCGCGTCGGAAGACTTTCAATCATTAACCCTTCGCGGGATGATGCCCTGAAATACACACGTATCCTAACCACTGGTCTCTGGTACTGAATGGCTCGCACGCCCATCGCAGTGCTCAAACAGTGGACCTTACTGATAAGGAAGCCATTTGGGATCCTGTTCATCGAATCTCTTTTTAAAAAAATTGTTAATTGTTGCATGGAATCATATGAGACTATTTTAGTATTTATGTGGCTTCCAAGCAACCCGTTTGTTTTATCACAAATATGAAATTACTCCTCAGAGTAAAGAGGAAAGATGATGCTACCAAGTTCTTAGCATCACTTCTAATTTCAATATGGCCGACTCATAAACCAGACCTATCGAGGACTCCGTCATGTAACTTTTCCCAACAGCATTCATCGATGACTAAATAATTAATCGGTTAAAGATACAGGGAATTTTGACAAAAAAATAAATCATGCCGCTTACTCCACACGAAGTGGCCTGTAACAGTCATTATACGACAGCTCACTGAGGCTGAAATCTATTTTCGACAAAGAGCTAAAAACCATCAAACAGATACACACAGTATTGTTAAACAAAAGAACAGCTTCGTTGTAACTGACACTGTGATAAGAAAAATCCAGACTTGCCGATACTGCTTTGCAATCAAGCGGGTTTAATTCTTAAGCTTCAGTCCAGAGATTCAACAAAAAAAGTCATTAGTCAAAGATGATTACAAAATGTTGAGGCGACAGTGCGAAATTATTGGGAAGTGTGACAAAATGAGTACTTTTGTGTTTTAAACCTTTGTCGTGCGGGAACACGAAAGAGAAAGGGAGGGAAAGAGAAACAGGTGTTTAACAAATTCGTTACGTTATAAAAGGGAAAAAATATTCGCCCCGTTCATTTGGTCAGGGGTAAATCCAGACCCAGATTTTTTTGCCAAAAAAGTGAGGAATTTTTTCCATGTAACCTTCTTATGGCCTTTTCAAGGGGCGAGGCTATATTTGGGGTTTTTCACGTCTCCTGAAGGAAGGAAAATGAATTAGACCTAAACACTTGCCTTTCCCTCATTATTTAAAAAAAAATTACTCATATTTGGCAAAGGAGGTGGGCAGGCTCCTGTTGACCCCTCTCGCGATTTGCATGTACAGGAATCACATTTACTGCTTATTTTCATTGACTGGAACAAGGGGCTGAAATATTTACGTTTTCAAACCTATGTGAAAAAGCAGGTCACTCAAAATAAGAGGTAATGGCGCCTAACAACAAAAGGAGACATCTTACCATTGAGATTTATGTAAGAAAATTGGATGTGGATTCCAAACAGAAAACGTGTTAGCAAAGTTCCCAAATTTGGAAGGATAAACTCCTAGTGTTTAATGACAGAAGTGGTACTAATTCATGATGATCTCGTATGTACAAGATGCAAATAATGCAAACTCAGGAATCTCTGTCAATTCTTCATTTTTTTTCCAAACTGTAAATGACAAAACTAAGCCAAAGCAACTGGAAAGTTTCAAGAAAGCAGTTTTAAGAAAGCTATTTCAAGGAGGAAAAAAGTAGTTGCAGATTTCAGAGGAATAGAATAACAGTCTTTCAGAATCAGTTGCCGAAATATAAGAACATCCACTCTCAGTTGACATATATCTTAAGCATTTAAATTGACTTCAAATATTTACATCCAAAGCTATTTAACACAATAACAAAAAATAGGTATATTGCAATTTATAAAGCAATTTTAAGATCTGCAAAAATTCAGCCCCTCCTTTTGCAGCATTTCTAGAATGCAGAATTATGCAGTCTTTCAATTTTTTACTTTATACAGGATTTGACATGCAGATTTTACATACGCTACTCGTAAAACTAATGCTGCTCCTTTGGCTCACATCAGGGCGATAAATTTTAGCAAATTGGGAAATTTTCCATTAATTTTGAATGTGCTCAGTAGAGCTTAATCATCGTCAGTGAACTCTGAAATAGTGCCAACTTTGCTGGCATCTGAATTTATAATGCTTTCGGTAATGGATCTGGCTTAGCGTAACTTCCACTGCCAATTGTCCATCAGCATCCACAAAATGTGGCTATGGCTAAAGATAACACATGCCTCGAGGGGAAACACATGAAGCCGTTAATTAATGGCTTCCATGGGCACGTATGTTCATTTTAGACACAGCCAGGTAATTGGGATTAAACCTTCACCAGCAGCTGTCATGTAGACTAGCTTAGTACTCAAACCTGATATTAACAGTTGAGAACAAGATAAATGATTGGTGCATCGACTCAAAACATGATGTCGGACTTTGTTTACATGTGCACTTTTCTATGGACGCTTGATGGTTCACTATCCCCCTCGATGACATAGGAAAGTGTGCACATAAACAAAGTGTGATGTCATTGTCATCATGTTACAGGTCTATTAATAGCATTCTGCCAGCGTTTGATATAACACTGGCTCTTGTTTGCAACCCAGGCCGAGACCAGGTAGAGCTCTACCATGTAAGGCATGTTTGTATGACCACGGCCACAGACATCTCTCTCCTCTGCTCATCGCTGGTGGAGCATTTCGCATCTTCAGTTTTGCCCTTCAGACATCCCTGTTCACAGCCGGTTCAAAGTGCCAGGAAATCAGCAGGCTAATATTTGGTCCTCTCCGATATACGTCTATTATTTCTTTCCCAAGTTGTTGTTGCATGAAGCCAACCAAAAGGGGTACTTTCCTTCTGAGTGACGAGACTGAAATGCCAACAATGTTACCTGGCACCGTGCATTTTGATGTTGACAATGTTACGATTTCTGGGTGTGTTTTTTATTTTGTTCTTGTGTTTTTGTGTATAATCTTGAACGTATTTCCAGTTATTACATTACGTTTCTAGAACAGGTGGCAAAAGCAAGCGCGGTTCTTTACATACAGCCTCTGAACACCAGCTGTGTGATTCATGCGTGTCCAAGTCTTACTCCAGCAAGAAGCTGTCCACAAAAACAACAAAAAAAAACATCTCCTTCATTGCTGGGGGTCTGCCTCGCTTGGTGAAGCGGTCAGAGCCAGTGATGGTGGTCCAAACGGATCGACCTGCATCAAGGCACAAGCCAAAATGGGAAAGTAACACACACTCTGTGAAATGGTATCAACTTCCCATTCAACACACTGTGTCTGGTACTAACAGTTCCAACCTGTCCAAAACAAAGGGTCTATGTGCAGTAGCTACGATTGTGTGTCAAGGTGCAGTGGAAATTTCTAGTGGAAATTTGGGGACTCTGTGGAAACTGTGGCTGATGAAACTCTAACAAGTTAAATACTTTCTAATACAATGCAACGCAAATTTCTGTGAAGTACCCACCCCAATGGTTAGTTGCTCACGAGACATCACTAGTAACTAGGAACTGCCTGCAAAATCAATTAACTTTCAATTTGACTATCACTAGGTTCAAATACCATCCAAGTCTGTATGTCTATTCCGTCCACCTACCTTGACGGCTGGATGTTTGTGGGACGTCACCATGATCTCAGTGGCCTGCGGGCCATCTCTCTTCCTTGCTCGGGACCAGTTGGCCTTGACTTCCACCTGATTGCGACTTCCTAGAATAGAGAGTGAGAAAGATGTTGGTGAAGGTTGAGGGGGTTGTTCTTGAAACAACCATGCCAGCGTTGGGGCAAACAAAGGGACTGCCGAGGGCAAACAAAGTGACTGTTGATAAAGAGATCGCTGACTCACACTTGTGCCAGGTGGAAATTCTTTTGACTTGAGATTTGCCACTAACAGAAAATGACTTGTCTTTGGAAAAGATGACTTGGGAGAAAAATGACTTAGGACATGAGAAAAAGTTACTATCGACTCATCTAGAGAAAAATGACTAGTGACTTGACTAGGGAAAAATGACTTGGGACTTGACTAGAGAAAAATGACTTGGGACTTGACTAGAGAAAAATGACTTGGGACTTGACTAGAGAAAAATGACTTGGGACTTGACTAGGGAAAATGCCCAGCGACTTGACAAGGGAAAAATGACTTGGGACTTGACCAGAGAAAAATGACTTGGGACTTGACTAGGGCAAATGACCTGGGACTTGACTAGAGAAAAATGACTTGGGACTTGACTAGGGCAAATGACTTGGGACTTGACTAGAGAAAAATGACTTGGGACTTAACTAGGGATAAATAACTTGTGACTTGACTAGTGAAAAATGATCTGGGACTTGACGGGGCAAAAATGTGACCAGTATGAAGAAATGTGACTCGGTTACTCCAATGGCAAACATGACAGCAACCCAACCCACACATCCACCAAGCATCAACACTTACCTCTTAATCCTTTGAAGTGGTCTCCGTGGGACAGGCAGAGCAGCTGGTCCCGTCTGATCTCCTCAAAGCTGGTCACCTTCTGCCCATCTGTCGTGTAGAGCTGCACGGCAGCTTTGCGCATGTCCAGCCTGGCCGTGCCGTCCTGTAGGATCTCAGACACGGACGACCCCCAGGCAAAGGTGTGCTTATCTGGAGGCTCGCCGTTCTTGTACACCTTGACCCGTTTCTGAAAAATTTTGCAAGCACACGAGCAAGCTATACATTTTGGACTGAACTTGGTTCACGTAGGAAAAGTGAAACATGCAGGATACCACTTGTGTTACAAAAACGTTGAAAATAAGTTTGTGAAAGCTGACTTTAAGTTGATACAGAACTGAGACCCAAGATTTCAAATAATTATACTTTTAAGTTTCAACAGTTTTTATAGGAACTAAACAGCCGACGTAAGTGTAGCCATCATAATTTTTTACAACCTCATGCTCACTAGCAACCTAGGGGAACCCTACTTTTCACATACCCCAGGGCACTAGGGTTACATGCCCCAGGGGACTGGGGATACATGCACCAGGGGACAGGGGTTACACGCCCCAGCGGACTGGGGATACACGCACCAGGGGACTGGGGTTACACACCCAGGGGACTGGGAATACACATACCAGGGGACTGGGGTTACATGAGCCAGTGACCTAGGGTTACACTCCTCACCAGATTGGGCTGGCTGTAGAGTTTCTTGCTGCCGTCCACCACCGGCCTGGTGGTGGTGGCGTGATTGGTTTGCTGCTTCTGTTGACCTTTGACCTCCTGCAGGTGGTTCTCCAGTTGATGTACCACCAGGGATTTCTTGACTTCCCCCACGGTGGGTTGGGTCCAGCCACCCTCCACCATGACTGGGGCATCGGGACTTAAGGTGCTGATGTACTGAGGCCCCTCCATGCCATTTGTCCTCCGTCCTGGACAGACAGGGAGAAATCAGCCAATCAGTTTGCAAGTTCAACAATAACCCTCCTTCTTGAAAAGCCTTAAAACAGTCCCAAATCCTCTGATTTCAATATGATTTTACATACACCCTAGGGAATTAGGGTTAATAAAGCAGGGGGGGGNTAGGGCAAATGACCTGGGACTTGATAAGGAAAAAATGACTTCGGACTTGACTACAGAAAAATGACTTGCGACTTAACTAGGGATAAATGACTTGTGACTTGAATAGTGAAAAATGACTTGGGACTTGACAAGGGAAAAATGACTTGGGACTTGACAAGAGAAAAATGACTTGGGACTTGACTAGACTTGGGGGAAACCGACTCGAGTTCTGAATAAAACTCGCTTTCTGAAAGACTTGGGCATTGACTTGTGGAAAAATGTGACCAGTATGAAGAAACACGACTCAGGTACTCGAATGGCAAACATGACAGCAACACAACCCACACATCCACCAAGCATCAACACTCACCTCTTAATCCTTTGAAGTGGTCTCCGTGGGACAGGCAGAGCAGCTGGTCCCGTCTGATCTCCTCAAAGCTGGTCACCTTCTGCCCATCTGTTGTGTAGAGCTGCACGGCAGCTTTGCGCATGTCCAGCCTGGCCGTGCCGTCCTGTAGGATCTCAGACACAGACGACCCCCAGGCAAAGGTGTGCTTATCTGGAGGCTCGCCGTTCTTGTACACCTTGACCCGTTTCTGAAAAATTTTGCAAGCACACGAGTAAGCCATACATTTTGGCTTGAACTTGGTCACACACGTAGGAAAAGTTAAATAATATGCAAGATGCCACTTATGTTACAGAAACGTTGAAAATAAAGTTTATAAAAGCTTACATCAAGTTGATACTGAGACCCCCAAAACATTTTTGATTTCAAATAATTATACTTTAAGTTTCAACTGCTTTTTATAGGAACTAAACAGCTGATGTAAGTGTAGCATTCACAAATTTTTTACAACCTCATGCTCACTAGCAACCTAGGGGAACCCTGCTTTTCATATGCCTCAGGGCACTAGGGTTACACAAACCAGTGACCTAGGGTTACACTTCTCACCAGATTGGGCTGGCTGTAGAGTTTCTTGCTGCCATCGACCATTGGCCTGGTGGTGGTGGCGTGATTGGTTTGCTGCTTCTGTTGACCTTTGACCTCCTGCAGGTGGTTCTCCAGTTGATGTACCACCAGGGATTTCTTGACTTCCCCCACGGTGGGTTGGGTCCAGCCACCCTCCACCATGACTGGGGCATCGGGACTTAAGGTGCTGATGTACTGAGGCCCCTCCATGCCATTTGTCCTCCGTCCTGGAAAGACAGGGAGAAAACAGCCAATCAGTTTGCAAGTTCAACAATAACCCTCCTTCTTGAAAAGCCTTAAAACAGTCCCAAATCCTCTGATTTCAATATGATTTTACATACACCCTAGGGAATTAGGGTTAATAAAGCAGGGGGGGNTTTGCTAATCTGAAAAGTTCATATATAAACAAATGAAGCTGTCTGACTCAAGAACAGTCAAATCTACATCTGGTATGCCGGTAGGCGAGGAAAGCAATTCATAGAATCGTTCTGTACCAAGCGGAACTGAAGTTCCTGAGTCCCCAACCGAACACTGTGGTTTAACCCAGACTACCCACTCATGTCTAAAACTGAAGTTTTCTTCTTTGTCTCTCCTTTGAATCCTCAATTCAGTCCCAGAGAAGAATTGTATGACAGCACCAAGGACGGCCAGGATCAATGACTTACTGATGACCAGTTCTTTCATAGTGCACATTAGTAAATGTTTCTATGCGCTGATGGATGAGAGCAGGTAAGTCTGAACTCTTTAACTGTAGGATATGAAAAATCTTACCCTGCATCTGACGCAAGACATGCTTCTCTTTTTCAAGTTCTAGGATCACTCCGGCCCGTTCCTCTCTCTGTTGCTGCAGCAACTTTCTCTTGTAGTCCACATCTGAGACAAGACATAACAGGTTCGTGTTTAAAAACACGCTGAATTACTCTTGTTACGTTGAGGAGGCCTATTTATATACCAACCTCTTCTCATCTCCTCTCCATGGATAGGCTCTCTGGGCGCAGAGCTTGGCTTGCTGATGGTTAGAGTGTGTTCATGTGGGTGGCTGTGTACTACTGCCAACACCTCCAATAAACACACCCTAGAACAACGTTCATACGCTTATTACCAAAATTAATATTAAAGCCTACTGTAATGATAAACTACAAATGTGTATAATGCCTAAGTAACTCAGTAAATACGCTACACTACTTGATACGCATAGGAATAAATGTCACCCAGCCTACAGTAAGTTATGAGCCTACAAGAAGTACAACCACACACTACAACAGCAGAAGATGCAAGTCTAGAACGAAGTGGTCTTTTACAAAATTTCATGTCCCTATGATACCATCTCACCGTCAAACCTTGCACCGGGATGAGAAGCTGACAGCTCAAATATGGTCTGGTTTCATCTGATACCATTCTTAGAAGCGACGTGGACAAAAGTCTAACACACGGACAGGGTACTCCCCAGTACAAATGAACACACGGACTGGGCACTTCCTAGTACAAATGAACTATTTTGTGAGTATGGTTTTTTCCGAAAGGGGAAAAAGAAGAAATTAAAAATTTTAAGGTGCCTGACACATGTGAAATTGAGAGGAAAATTATCCTAGAGCTCGTAATCCTGACTTTCCTGTGAAACACATAAGGCGAACCACTAAGCGCCACCAGGATGGGCAACTTCTCTCTCCTTTTCTACTGCTGTCTTTAGGCGCCTATTTCAATACACCGTACTGCAACCCGACACAAATCCAGGCTATTGACTCATCATGGTGTATCTATCACCCAAGCAGATGATAGTTTGGACTTTGCTGTTGCTGTGATATTCTGGCCACGTCAACGCTTTTTCACTTACGCTCAGGCCTGGCAAACGGCTCTCCGCACGAGACCCAGACCTCCACAGGAATACGCAGCACAGAGGACACTTTCAGCTCAGAGGACGACTCCCGTCGCTTGTCACCTGTCTTGTCCTTCTCATCCTCTGTCAGCAATAAAAAAAGAAAAAACTATTCCACATTTGGTCACTCATGCATTTCAGTACGCCTCTCAATCTTACATTTCCTGGATCTTGTTTGGAGTGCTGCCACAAGAAGTTTAGTATTATACATTCTAAGACACAGTATGTGACTTTGCGTATGACAACATTAGAAGACAGAGTACAGAATACATAAGGAAAAAGGGACTCATTGGAGGACTACATTTGTAGAATGTCTGACTGAGTCGTCAAATCAATTGTTCAGTCCTCATTTTAACGATTGATAGATAAATTGGCAGAGGGCCTGCACTCTTCAAAGAACTATCGCAATGTTGTGAATGATCAACATTTAGAGTTATGCCAACATATGCGTGCTTAGTAAATTTCATCGACTAACAAGCAAAATATTAACAGCAACACCAACACAAGCAAAAGGATCACTCTTTCACTAAACACTTTCTAAGACCCCGATGTTCAGAAAAATCATGGCAGTTTCTGGAAATGCCAAACTGAACTAATTCCTGAAAGACTTGAGGAATTTGGGAAGGCAACCAACAGTAGCACATCTATCCAAACTACAAACCACAAGTGAAATGACCTTGTTCGTTGATATCCACGCCAGCTAGGCCGTAGCAAGCCAGGTTCCAATGTATGAGATCAGACACCGTCAGGATGAGTGTACCGTCCTGGGTGTAGAGCCGGCGAGCTGCAGTGGACAGCTGTAGGCCATAGGTACACTGATCCAACAACTGAGTGGAAAAAAAACCACACAACAGAAACAAGGGTTAGCAGTGCAAGATTTCTATTTAGACTTGTATCCCAGTATGACAGGCATAAACTGTTCAACAACCCATCATGACTTCGTTTGGTCTTACCTATAACCCAGGTCAAACAGGATAAAGCAATGGGTAGAAATATCAAGCTCCTGATTTGTCCATCAATCCTCCTATCAATGGTTTGTATCCCTTCACATTCCGTCACTGATTAATGTGTTTATACACTCACAAAGTTTCAGTCCATTACAGCCCCCTCTTGGCCACGTCATTCCAACCCCCTCCATGCTCCACCCACCATCTATCAAACATCCTTCTAGTTCATTCCCCTGACGCCCACACCCTTTGTGTTTTGCCTATTCCTATCCCCTCTATGCCCTGCCCACCCACAGTAAATGTTCACACACCCTTGTGAATTCAAGAGTCATCAACCAGTACATGTGGCTCCCATCACCATTCCCTTTGGCCCACCCACTTGCAAACAGGCTAGCGTCCACATACCTCCCAAAACGTCAGTCCTGTTATCACCACACCCGCTATGCTACGCCCACGTATATTTCCCTAATCTCCACCCACCCTCAAACAGGCTGGCATACACATATGGTACCCCCCTGACAGTCCATCCAGTCATTGCAATACCCTCTGTGCTCCGCCCACTTCTATTCCGCTAAGCCCCTCCCATCCACAAACAGGAAAACACCCACATACCCCCCTAACAGTCGATCCAGTCATCACTACGCCCTCTGTACTCCGCCCGTTACCATTACGGTGGGCGAGTATCTTCACCATCTGTACAGGCTGGTAGGCAGATATCTCCCTGGCAATGATTCGAGCACTGGACATCTGACGAAGTCGCCTCAGTTCCTTCTCGTACTGGGCCATGGTGTTGGAAGCCTCAAATGTGGACAGGTCAACCTGACCAAATAAGGATAAATCTTCTGATCAACTACCTATATTTTCTATTCATTTTACGGCTAAACTGCAGGCAGGTGATAAGCTGCGATGTTCTTTCCATTCAATTAGTCTTTCTTTTCTTTTGGGATTTTAAACAGCTTCATGCCAGAACTTGAAACTGTTCAGATTATTAGATATAATTATTATGGTTCAATTACAACTGAAATGAAATTGGAAACTTGTTCCAATGAAATGTAATCTCATAGCAAGCAGGTTTAATATTGACTTGAAACTCGGGGGGGGGGGGGAAATGCGATATCGAGGTTTTGACCCTCAGGGATTGTGGTACAGACAGGCCTTGTCCTGTTCCTGCTGGGAGCAGACTGTGGTGACGTAAACAAAACTGTGGAGACATGCTGGAGTGCCACAACAATATTCAAAATACAAAGCTTCCCTGGGAAAGGCAACGGTTGAACAAATAAGTCCCAATTACCTTTCCGTTCAGACACTGGAAGCAACCTGTCATCCTGGCGCCACGCTTAGGAGCCAGGCCCACGGCGCAGGCAAACTCTGTCGCCTCCTCCAGCCTCCGTAGCCTGTGATTGGCCCTCATGGAGCGTGCACAGGCAGCACACACAATGACAGGTTCAGATGATTTGATGCCCATTACAATGAATCCCTACGCAAAAAGGCAAAACAGGCTTCACTGGTTGGGGGAAACGGTGCACAGAACAGAGAAGTCTTTTGTTTTTCAAACAGTTATTAAAACCCCTTGTAAAAATAAAAACTAGAAATAGCAACACTGCAGTCTATCTTGTGCCAACTGGCCGTATTGAGGATATCAACTACATTTCATATTTTAAAAGTAGGAAGTTGCATAGAACTTGTTCAACTTTAATTTATTGATTTAATATCAAAATGCTACTTATTGACTTACAGTCTGTTCCAGGGGTGTCTCTCCACACACTGCAAAGGTACACACACTAGCCTTATTGGCAGCAGTGATTTCTACAAATAAAATGGACATTTAATCAAGTGACTAACAAACTTCAACAGACAAAACTGCATAAAAACTGGGAATGGTAGAGGCAATCCTTTGACGCTCAACTGTCTTCCAAAATATCTAACTAGAAAGAACTTTTCCCAAGTTGACACCAAACCTTCAGAACTGAATTCCTGAACAGTTGTGAACCTTTTCTCACTCATATCCGTTCAGGCCGAGCTGTTCAAAATGTGCAAATAGATTCCCTAGGTATGATCTTTCTGATCCTTTATGTCTCCAATTCAAATAAGATTCCTTTGAAGAGGACTCAATAAACCAACCTTTATCCTTGATGTCGGCTGCAAAGGCATCTAGGAAGCCAGTCTCCTTCTCGAATGACCACTTCTGGTTGGCCGCGCCATATCTGACTGTCCGGCCATGCTGTAGGGTGACCGACTGACCACAGAAGCTGCCTGGAGCCTGGCTGTCCTCATCCAATGCAACACTCGGCATCTGAGCACCCAAGACAAGGTCTGGGCTTGACTTGGAGCGGATGAAGCTGGTGTGGTGAAATAGAAAGATAAAGAAGAGCTTTGACTTTCAACAAGTATTACTGTGATTCGTGGTTAACAGATAAGGGGTGCATGTGGCCAGGTGGGCTTATGTTGCAGCCTTGGTTGAGCCATTTAAACCTTGCTTACGTCTCTCTATACCAAGAAGTATAGATGGGTACCAGTGTTAGCTGGGTACAAATATCAGCCGGGTACCAGTATTAGCAGGGGAGCAATGTTAGCCGGGTACAAGTATTAGCTGGGTACCAGCATTAGCTAGGTATCAGCATTAAGTGGGTACCAGTATTAGCCGGGTACCAGTGTTAGCTGGGTACCAGTTTTAGCTGGGGAGCAGCCTGCGATGGACTGGCATCCTATTGAAGGGGAAAAATAAATGTTCTCTGTAGCTTCATGCCAAGGAAACTGCAGATTAACACAGACATCTTCGTTCTTTTAACAAGTAATCCTGCATTTTGTCACACAGTTCACTTATGTGGACCAGCAGACCTGTTTATGACCAGTGAAGGGTCCTTTTTCTCTTAGTTTGATTTCAGAATATAGGACCCTCTTCTTGCCATTCATAGTCCCTCAGGGCACATAGGTGTGTACTAGTGACCTCACTGCCAGTCCATATGTGTGTAATATCTACCCCCAGACATTGTTGCAGTAGCCAGAATGTCGTTCTGTATTTTGTTTTGTTTGCAAGTGTAGTGACTTGCGTTTTGTGACGTTTTACTCCTAGAGGGCACTGTGTGAGCGCTCACATAATTCCGTTCCACCATTTTATGCCGCGTTGTGCGGTGAATTTCTGAGAAAATTGTCCTTCTTTTGCAGTTAATTTGTGAAAACCTTGCCAGCTCAGCAAATTGAACCACCATAACTGTCACTAATGTCACCATTGTCATCACAGCCATTGTCACCGTCACTACCACCACCACCAGCACACCAGCTTCCTACTGTCAAACTCAACTACTACTGCTACTCTACGACGCCACGCTGCTGTGTTTCTGCGCTATCTCTGTATTTAATTTAAGTCCCCCGGTCATAGATGACTCACAAATTATTATCACCTGACTTCAGACTTTGTTATTGCATAGCCCCCCCAGTTTGCCACATCATTCCAGGAAATAAAGTGACATCTGAGTTACATGTACATGTAACGGACATTATTTGATTACTAATCCCAGTGCGTGTCATTGCTGAGCCACACAGTTTGACGATCTGTAGCGCAAAGGCTACAATTGTTATATTTGTATGCTCACCCCTGCGTGTCCGCCTCCCATCGCTGCGAGGCGTCCTCGGCATTCTTCTTACACAGGACCACCCTGGACAACTCCAACTCAGGCTGTTCCAGCCCCACCACCAGGTAAGGTGCTGTTTTGACGGCTAGGAAGCCATCGGCAAACACAAAGCGCTGGTGGGAGAGCCTGGTGCTGCGTGGACTCTTTGGCTGCTTGGGCCTGACAAAACAGAAAGAAACTTGTAAGGTGAGACGTCAATAACCATCACAAATGTTCACAGAATACCAAAGTGAGACGTTGCTTGGAACCAGAAGCTGCAGTACAAATGGAGTACACGCCCATGTTGGGTCCTGCACTGGTTCACACGTTGATGTCTTTTACACAAATAATAGAGTGTGTGACATATTCACTTTGGTACTCTATAGAGTACCGTGTACACTTATGTGTGTAAAAGGCATTACGGCGAGAACCAGCCTGTGAACCAACGCATGCGTACTCCATTCGTTTGCACTGCACTTTCTGGTTCACAATGACATCACACTTTGGTACTCTATAGTACATGTAAGTCAACAAAACACGATATTTCCTTTCAATTCTTTCTTGTATTCTATTTATTTTGGTTCGTCTGGGTCGAGGTTATTAATCCCTACCGAGTTTACAATCAAAGACCAGAGGTCAAACCAAAATCCTGACTATCACTCTGCTGATCGGACTGGACACATACTTGAATTTCTTATAGAGATCGACGTTAGAGAAAGCCGCCTCCTCGCTGGCCGACCCCTGATTGACCTCCACCACCTCGTCTAAGCTGGCATTGAGGACTCGCTCCCAGGGCCACTTCAGCCCCTCGGCTCGCTGGTCTGATGCTATGTGGGCTCGCTCGTGGGCACTGTCAAGCAAACCAGAAAACAAAAAACCAGTTAAGTCCTTTCATTGCTGGATACTGGAAAAGCTGGCATTGAGGTTGTGTCCACCTCAAGTCCCTTCAAATCTATCATGATATTGACCAGTCTTAGCAAGGCCACAAGCTATTCAAATGAAGTGCAACAAAAGTATGCATATTTCTCATGGATATGTAGTCATGTTGACCCATGTATTCAGACTCGTGAGTTTTCAGTGTTTTCTTAGTTTGATATGCAGTTTTACTCCTATTGACTGACATCATTCCTGTGTGGCCATTTATTATAAAGCACACTGGAGCTCTAGAGGTTTATTCCTGACTCCAATGTTGCCAATGAATTGAGTTAGGCTGGCAGTCAAATTTGGATTAGACACACCTTAAGGAGGGTAGTACAAATGTTCTTGTGAAAGGACTTGTGAATGAACTTGTGATGGATTCAACAACACCGGGTACATCACAGTGAAGAAAAGATTCAAGGACCACAACTTTATTAGATAATTTGTCTGACCATTCATCAGTGAGGTGTGCTTTACGTACTAGAGAGCTACCCTCAAAGTCTTTACAAACAAATCTTCACCATGCCTGATGCAATGTCGTTCCACCTTGCTGAAAGTAAAACTTGGATATTGGGGTAAAATAAACACTTGAAAAACCGAAATCAACACTGAGGGACTGTCATCATTTTTGGCCCAATTAATGACAGTTTTCATCAGAAAGTTCCATCGAATGACACGTTATTGGGAAAGCAAAGAATCTTTATCCATTTGCGAACAAATCTGTGAGAAGAAAATCTTTACACTTTTTAATTCTGTTGGATTCAGACACTTTGCCACATCGGGGAACTTTTGTCCATGATTTTTCAAAGACATAGACCAGAAACATACTAAAAACAGAATAAAACCCTTAGTAGTGTATCCTGGATTTACAAGTTACACAAAATGAAAGCATTTCCTTAAATACACCTTGTATTTTCACTTTGTATCTTGTTTCACTGAGGAAACCACAACTTAAGCCATCACAAAGTAGTGACATTAACTGCTCTACATAAATGAGTCACGTTGTAATCTTGAGCTACTTTTCAGGCTTTTGAAAGACTCTTGTACAGTGTGTAAGCGATTGAAATCCTCAACATTATAACATCTACACAACGTCTGTTTTCAACATACGAAACTGAGTGACACGTCAATACCAAGAGCTCGGCTTCCTCAATCTAATACAAAGTCAAACTCAAAGTAGCTCTGACGACTTGAGACAAATTTTGCACAGCACGACACATGTTTAGTTGTGCGAAGTATGATTTCCATTCACATAAAACCAAAGCACGATTTTTCCCCTTTGCATTATCATGTCCCGTGAGACTTGCACAGTCAATCTTTACCTCAAGTTTGCGTACACATCTCCGTCTGTCTCTGCCTCTTCAGGCTCTGCCTCCGGAGTGGGACCTTGCAGGATGTGCTGCCTCTCCTCTGGTGACACTGCAATTTGGTTGACCACAAGAGGGCTCCCTACAGCCAGAGCACCATCCACATCCAGAACCAGATCTATGGATAATGCAGGCATAATTGATTCCTATCAATTCTGGGTGCCGAGGTCAGCAAAGAGTTACTTTTTTGCAACTCTTTGCTGACTAAAAGAAATTTAGTTCCATCATAACATTCCAAACACCAAACCTTATACATAAGGAGAAACAATTGTAATAGTCTACCCTGACCTCCCAACATTGGCTATCAAGAATTCGGAATCCTTTTCTCCAAAATTGAGAATTTTTCATGAAAAAGCAAAATATTCTTTGTACTACCAATCAGGAAAAATCAGTGCTGCTTTGTACAAGAGTTGATTTAGTGATGATGTACAGTATCACAAGTACTCACCGATTCCATAAAATTTTAATTTCCACAAAAGTTTACATCATCTGAATGGTCCACAATAATTTTTCATCTCCTAAATGTGTTGATTTGCCACAAAATTCAGCACAAATTCACGGCATGATACTTGCACACTTGACATGATTGTGGATGATTTCACAGCAGGGCTTATGATCCAAACGTTCTTAGCTGTGGTACTGAGTGAAACTAGGCGCCACACAACACATAGAGTGTCAAATACAATGTAGTTGTCAAGGGCATTTTATCACGTGATCACGTCCAACTCGCTGTGAGTACGCATTAAAAGAGGGCGCTGCCAAGGACGTGGCATTGCGGTGCAGTACATGCACAAGATTACGTGGACATTTTCTGGTAAATAATAGGCGCGTCAAAATTGCGATTTGGCAAAAATTTTAGAGGTGAAATCGGAGTGGTGGAAACAAAGTGAAACAGCAGAAATTCTCCACCAAAATCGGGAAGGTTGGGAGGTCTGGTCTATCTTCTAGATAAATTCTTGTTTCAGGACCCCAGATCTGGACATGCGAGAGCAACTAAAATAAGTGAGACTAAATCTAACATATGTGCCAATTTTCACGGTTAGCTTTTTGCACCTGCTAACACCCAGGCTACCTAAGTGTGGTGAAAGTCTTGTGTCTTGAATCCAATAAAAAAATGAAAAAAGCTGTAGGTTGGGCTTTGGAAAATTTTGTCTGGTTGGATATGAACGTTTGATTGGACTTTTGGCAATTTTGGTTGTAGATCAACATTTCATTAGAAAAACCACCTGTCAAGATCAGGGAAGAGGCCCTGGGTCTTGGGAAAAGGTCTGAGCACTCACTCATGGGACTACGTAGGGCACAGTACTGCTTGATGGCGCCCACGTCGGCCACCAGCGTAGCCAGGATGGTTCGACGCTGCTGCTCCTGGCTGGACAGGTTGGGATCGCTCCAGGCCTCCCCGCATGAGACAAAGACCAGCTGGTCCCGCTGCAGGTCATCCAGCGAGAAGTGCTCCCGTCCGCTCTCGTCGAAGAGTCGGCGCGCAGCGAAAGGCAGGTTGAGGAGGGATGTGCAGCGGTCCAGAAACTAAGCAGACAATAACACATCAACCTGTGACTTGATTCCACAAAGGCCGCTTTGTTTTGGTAGACTGATTAGAGACAGCTAATGGTTGTTGTATTGATGCATTACTCAATTTGGTATCCTGGGAGTAGACATTATGTGGGTAAACAACATTGAGGTTCATGTTGATTTTGACGGTGAAAGATTCTCTTGAAAGCCTTTACCTCTAGCGACTCCCAAATCATTTTGTCAGATTGCGTGATATTTGTGACCCGCTCTGCAAAAAGGGGAATAAGTCGCGCAATTCTAAAATATGTTATGGCCTTTTCTATTTGGAGAGGGCAAAATGTCTTCAAAAATGTCATTTTGTGTTTTTCCTTTGTTAGCTTGTACAACATTTATGTTTTCAGAATTTGTGACTACAAACATAAATACTGATGAATAAAGATGAAAAATTGATCATTCAGTAAGAAATCCTACATAGCATTGTGTTTCAGAGTGCTACACCTGAGCTTTTTCTCGAAAAATGCTTTTATCGAATCCGAAAATGTGGATATACAAATGTCTAAATATCTCCGGAACGCAGTGCACTACAGGGGTCCTTCATAAATCCAATTGTAGCTTTTGATGTTCTCAATCCAGCCATATAAAAAACTGATAACTTATCACCCATTTTTCTAGCACCGGTCACATTTAGTCATTTCATGAAAGCTGCTTTATCCTGGATCATGTGTTTCAGCAGGACTGACCCTCAAAGACTAAAGCTGGACTTGAGTGAAAATGGAAAAGACTCTCAGTTTTACCAGTAAGAAGAAATGTTTGAAGAAAAAATAATCCAGGTCACACTGACGAAGTGCAGATGGGACAATGGAATCTACACAGATGGGCTATGTTGGGCACGGATCAGGGTTGGAATTTGAATGTAAGGAAAAGATCACAACACCTTGTACTTAAAACTGGTCTCTCTCCCCAAAGTCTGTTCATTTTGACAAAAAAGAGACTGCATGTATATCAAAGTGATCTGTCATCTGCCACTGTCATTCCTCTTGCTCCCTTACCAGCTGAAACTCCAGGGCCTTGACTTCATCCTTCTTGGCCTGTCTCTTCTGGGCCATCTCCTCTTCCAGTTTCTCCACGCTCTTTTCACGTGACTGGCTGCGACGATGGGGCCGCTTGCCATTCATGGCCGTCCGATTCAGGTCTCTCATCATCTGAAAATGGAGAGTGAAACTGAATACTGGAGATGGACCATAGAGTTACACATAAAACCAGAGCACTGATTCATGTACAAAGCGATACCTGCCAGGCGTATCCATGTTTGTGCACAAACCCATGGAAAACTGGAAATTTTGTGTGGCTTTTGTAAGGCTATTTGCATATCTGCATCTGTATTCTAAAATAATATGTCAACAAAGCCAATACACAAACAACCTGAACGCGCAATCAGTAAATGAGCGTTTCATTTTGCTCAGCGTCAAATCATGATCACCTAACACTAAATGACTAACATTGCCTCCAAGGCCAGTAGCTCGGCGGGTGTGAAAGGATTTTTTGTGAAACCAAGAAAGACTGCCGAAGGGGTTCTTTACAAAATGGGTCTATCTTTAATATCACGACCCATAACCAAGAAACTGTTTTTCACTCTCTATGGTGCCTGTTGCCCAGGACCAAACCTGTGGCTTGACATGTGTTTTACTTGTAATCAACCTGTCCATGAGTTCACTGTGGACTTGTAGAAGCAGCTGAATCAATACCAAATGGTCACACAGCAAACCTACACATTTGCAACTGATCCCACAAGATGCCTTCAGATCGTTTCTCAATCACTTGTTTTATTCTCTTCGTTTTGATGCGGTGAACCTGTGCGTACACCAAACAGCCGTTGTTGCTGCATACAAACACACCCTCTATTGTTACCACTCAGAGCAGACTTGGAAGACGGAGACACTCTTTCTATACCTGCAAACCAACAACTCCACTACTACTTACATTGGTGAGGTCTGGTCCCACGATATGAGCCATTCTCTGAACGTCCCGCTCGCCGTTCTTCAGAACCCTCAGCCGTAGTGGAACAGCTTGAATGCGAAGATGACCAACGAATTAACACTTGGAAGGCCATAATGAACAAATGTGAGAGGATCCTACAAAATGAGTCATAAGGCCATTTTTTTCTGTAATTTGCTCTTGTGTGGATCAGAAAGAGTACTGAGCTCTGTTTCGATGGATCACTAAGTCCTGCATCTTGATGAATATGGACACTGTGTAGGCCAAAAATGTTGAGGGTTCCTATCAATGTCCACTGTGCAAGATTCTTTTCAAGGCCTTCAACTCAAGACTGGTCAAGGTGACAAGTCTCCGACTCATTTTCCAGATGGGGTTTAAGGGTGGGAATTCGTGTTTTTGAAAAATGGTTAGACAACTTTCACGTACCATTTAAACATTTCATCGTGTAAACGTCTAACCCTTACCACGGGTGTCATCGAAAACTTTAAATGCAACAAAGTGTATACAATGTTAAAAGTTAACACAAAGTTCCTTTGATGAATTCATGGTATTCCTTTGATATGACCGAGCAGTGAAATGTTCTGAAAATCAGATTACATTTTACAGGCATCGTTTACAATAAAAATGAACACCAGACTGCATCGATCTAAATGTCAAACCTCTAAAAGAGGCTGTTTCATTTAAAAGTTTTGGGAAAATCTGTGAACCCATTTGTTACTCTTTTTGTTTAAACATTTAAACATTCCACCCTTAATGCGGTTACAAATTTTTATTATTACTAGGTGATACTTCAAAGATTGAAAGACTTCTGGTGTCCTAATCAATGCTGTGAAGCACAAAAGCCATACAGCATCCCTTATTAACACAATTCTCATCATCATATCTTTAGAATTTGTTTGCTTGTAGGGACCTACTTCTAAGCGGAGAATCCTTTTGATCTTGGCCGTAGGCCAGCTCCCCCTCCGAGCCACTCGGTTTGCGCGTCATCTTCTTGATGGGCGGGGCATAGGGAATGAGATATCCCTCCATCGGCCAATCGCAGTCCTCGTTCCACTCGCCCTGGCTGTTGACCGGCCAGGAGTAAGCCAGCTTGTTCCACAGTGGGTTCTGGGCCTTGGTGTGTTTCCACTGGCCAAGGTTATCCAATCTCTCCTGCTTCAAGGCCCACCTAGCACCCAGAAAAATGAGCTCCGAATTTACAATTTTCTGGAAAGCCTCCAGGATAGAAGATTCTTTGAGACTAACCTTTGATTCTGTCAGCACTTCTGCTAAGCAAAGTTAAGTGCATAGAAATGGCTGTATGAGAATTAGCCAAAGGGAACACACTCGACAATTTGCTGGCAACATGCCTTGAAAAGTACGTTAAAATTGCTCTTGGCTTTATTAATAAAACTGTCAGCAATACAATAACAGCCTTGTCACAAATGCTAACATTGCATATCTAGAATGGACATTTTCTCCTCCTTGTGAAGTCATATCAACCTTTTTCTCACACTGTTAACACCATTTTAAACTGAATTTGTCTTGTTTCTCTGCCTTAAACAATATACAACCTTGACCCCAAAATGCCTCAGAACCTGTTTTTCAGGAGAAGGGATAACCGTGTGTGGACTTGGCTTTAGTCCACACGGGGTTCAGACAACCAGCATTATGGGAGCCTCCATTGTTCTAAGAGAACACACTTCAGCTGTGAAGTTTGAGTGGTGTGGATTATCTCCCATCATACCTCTGTGCTTTTGCCCACGGGTGTCTGGCGGGCATACGGGGTATGACGGCCACGGCGTACACCTGCCCTGGGAAGGTGTCCCCCTCCTTCTTGGATGCGTCTTTCTTCTCGCCCCCTCCTCCACTCTCCTCACCCTCCTCGTTGGAATCAAAGTCCGGGTCAGCTCCGTAGGGATCGTCAGGGTCAGTCGGTGCCTGCTGCTGCTGCCGCTCGGCTGCCTGCTGTTGCTGGCTGAACCCCATCATCATCTCCATGGCAATCGCATCATCGTCTTGCGGCTTGGCTTCTATGTAGGTCAGTACTAATTCAGGCTCAGCCTGGGGAATATTAAAAATTAAGACAACTTCTCTTAAAATAAATCACGTGTAACTAATATGTCACTATGTCCGTGATCTTTTTGGCAATGTTTAAGTCAATGTGCTCGTGTGCAATAGACTGCCCTCATGTTGAGCTTATCTGAAGTATCCAGACAACCAATACAATAAAAACTGTGCAAACAGTTTCCATGGAACTTTTTGGCCATGTCCGAATCACTTGGCAATGGCCAGAATTTACACACGACTTAATGGGAACTGGCCACGGCCACTGCCATAGACTGGGAACTGGCCGCGGCCACTGCCATAGACTAGGGAACTGGCCGCGGCCACTGCCATAGACTGGGAACTGGCCGCGGCCACTGCCATAGACTGGGAACTGGCCGTGGCCACTGCCATAGATTGGAACTGGCCCCGCCACTGCCATAGATAGACTCGTGCATAATTTCCAGCCGTAGCCAAGTGATTTGAACGCGGCCTTTCTCTTCTACAGATTTATATACTAGAGAGACTTTGACTATGAGGGGCCTTTTGTGGCAAGAAAATAAGTAAGGAAGACCGTGCACTTGTGGGCAATTGAAAGGTTTCCAGAAAACCAGATGCATCAACCCTATACTGATGAGTGCTGAAGCTGTAAACAGGTCTAGCACCCTTCCTCCTCAAGAAAGTGATCTCACAGGTTCCACAAGACTAAACACACGCCCACAGAAGACAATACTGGTCCAGACAGAAACTGCTCCGTTTGCTGATATTTGAGAATGGAGAATCCGTGTTCTCCACGGCCGAAAATTTTGGCAGGGTGGTAGACAAAATTGCGAGCGCGAAGTGTGAAGCCCTTATGGCATGGGGTCTGCAGCCCGCTTAAGGGCCCCGGAAAATTTTGGATTCTAGATGATCTGTGGTGCATTCTGGGACAATTTCCAGTCTACTTTCGTCTGTAATTTGGCCCCAAATCTGATTACATTTACAACGTGAAATATTGGCGAGGATATCCTTCAGGAGGAATTTCTTCATCAAAAGATTTGATGAAGAAATTTCTGGAGCATTTTTAGCAGAATATGTTAGTGACTCGAAACATGCTTGAGATAAGCAGAGCATGCGGTTTTCTTGATGATCAGTTGACTGTGAAAAGGCACAGTAAAAACAAGCCTCAAAATATGCTCTTGAATAAAAAAGGACAAAAGAAATATGTTCAGGCAAAGATAAGTTTACAATTTCCAGCTCACGTCATAAAAATGAAGCAACCCCTCGATCGGAGCAGAGTGTGGGGGCCACTCAGGCATGGCATGGTCCTTCAACTAGTGCCTGCACTCACTCCGCAAAACAATGTTGCACCGCGGGTACCAGTCACATGCACTGCGTGTACATGTACATGCTTGCGCAATACAATGTACGTGTACATGTACAAACATACTCGATGGTTTTACGGGGCAAGAGGTTGACTATGCATAACGGTAGGCAGCCAACGATCACCATTGTCAGTACATCATAAGCGTCGTTGGTAAACTCAAGCTCGATCCACAAACTGCGGTAAACCTCTTTTTTACTAAAATCTTGGGAAAGTAGACATTCGGAGAAAAATACACTACTCAAAAAATATCAGGGTGAAAAATTTTAGCGGGGCGGCCCAAAATTTTGGCAGGGCGGTCCGCCCTGCTAAAACAGCCCGTGGAGAAGACGGGAGAATGTATTTTTCTTTGCAGATTCAAGATTAAGACTGCAAGGACCATTTTCTTTTCAGTTTCTCAACACACAGCAACCTCAATTAATTTTTAACCTTCCAAAGTACCACCTTAAATGGTAGCCAATCTAAAGGCCGAGGCATGGCTGTCAGTGTTGTAGTAGACACCTCGTAGAACCATTCTAAGAGCCCCCCACACGACCATCACAAGACCTCCAGTCGGAGGTCAAATCACGAAACTATTCAAACGAACTGTGACAAATATTCCTTTGGCACCATTCACCCTGAAGGTTGTGACTGGACTTGTGTCTCATCTAGTGACTGAACTTGTGTTTTGTCTTGTGACCGGACTTCTGTCTGGTCCTGTGTTGTCTTGTGACTGGACTTGTGCCTGGTCTTGTGCCTGGACTTGTGTCTGGTCCTGTGTTGTCTTGTGACTGAACTTGTGTCTGGTCTTGTGCCTGGACTTGCGTCTGGTCTTGTGCCTGGACTTGTGTCTGGTCTTTTGAATGATCTTGTGATATCTTTATTACAACACTGCTATCTGCATTTTCCAACATCTGTGCTAAATAGACCCTACAAGTCCTGATAAGCGTAAATGACTTACCATAGCATGAATGAAACCATCCTCAGTGAACACCCACTGCTGATAGGGGTTGCCTTGCTGTCTGTAGACAGGATGAAAAAAAATTGCCCAATGCTGAGTCTCAAATAAAGGGGTACCTCGCAGTCTGAGTGCTCGTGAGATCAAACTGAGAAAAACTGACTGAATCAGCCGCATTTATGTGGCTGCCATCTTGAACTAGAAGTGAGGTTATGACTATGTACATCTGGATCTGTTGACTTGAGCTGGGTTTATAGCACAGACAGAGCCGTAGCTCTGGAAGTCCATTTCAGACACGACCTCAATGTGTAGCTGATGTAGATTAGTAAGGCTCCTTGCCAGTTCGCAGTGCTCACTGAATACCGTGGGTTAATGGATCACAATCCAAAATAGCCAATTTGTGAATAAAGCCCACTGAGGAGAAGACTTTAAATATGAAAGCACGGGTGGGAAAAACTCTTTTTTCAATTTCAGTTTTTATCTCCCTCACTGTAACTAGGCTCCATCTTTCTGAATTCAGTCCACAAATTAAGATCCATGAAGTTTCATTTTCTCTTTCAGCAATATCAAATTGTTAATATCTCAGGCCAATGTCTGAAGTTACTTTCAATTAATTGTTTGAATCTACTTTTGACCTTGAGAAAAAGATTAAGGTGGAGATGAAATAAAAAATATGGAAAGCGCTTTATGCAAGCCATAATGGCACATAATACATACAGCTCATTTTCATCAGAATGCGCACAAAAACCCTGGGTGTCTCTGGCAGGAGGAAGCAATTTGCACATATACCGAGACACTCAAGAGTGTAAAAGTTGAACTACAATAAACCCTGATACCTTGAATCTCTGGGGAATGAACAAAAAATTCGAGTTGTCCGAAATTCGAATTAAAAAAAGGTCCCGATTTCTTTTGAAGTTAAGTCATTATTACAANATTTGCTGATATTTGAGAACGGAGAATCGGTGTTCTCCACGGCCGAAAATTTTGGCAGGGTGGTAGACAAAATTGCGAGCGCGAAGTGTGAAGCCCTTATGGCATGGGGTCCGCGGCCCGCTTAAGGGCCCTGGAAAATTTTGGATTCTAGATGATCTGTGGTGCATTCTGGGACAATTTCCAGTCTACTTTCGTCTGTAATTTGGCCCCAAATCTGATTACATTTACAACGTGAAATATTGGCGAGGATATCCTTCAGGAGGAATTTCTTCATCAAAAGATTTGATGAAGAAATTTCTGGAGCATTTTTAGCAGAACATGTTAGTGACTCGAAACATGCTTGAGATGAGCAGAGCATGCGGTTTTCTCGATGATCAGTTGACTGTGAAAAGGCACAGTAAAAACAAGCCTCAAAATATGCCCTTGAATAAAAAAGGACAAAAGAAATATGTTCAGGCAAAGATAAGTTTACAATTTCCAACTCACGTCATAAAAATGAAGCAACCCCTCGATCGGAGCAGAGCATGGGGGCCACTCACTCCGCAAAACAATGTTGCACCGCGGGTACCAGTCACATGCACTGTGTGTACATGTACATGCTTGCGCAATACAATGTACGTGTACATGTACAAACATACGCGATGGTTTTACGGGACAAGAGGTTGACTATGCATAACGGTAGGCAGCCAACGATCACCACTGTCAGTACATCATAAGCGTCGTTGGTAAACTCAAACTCGATCCACAAACAGCGGTAAACCTCTTTTTTACTAAAATCTTGGGAAAGTAGACATTTGGAGAAAAATACACTACTCAAAAAATAGTAGGGTGAAAAATTTTAGCGGGGCGGCCCAAAATTTTGGCAGGGCGGTCCGCCCTGCTAAAACAGCCCGTGGAAAAGACTGGAGAATGTATTTTTCTTTGCAGATTCAAGATCAAGACTGCAAGGACCATTTTCTTTTCAGTTTCACAACACACAGCAACCTCAATTAATTTTTAACCTTCCAAAGTACCACCTTAAATGGTAGCCAATCTAAAGGCCGAGGCATGGCTGTCAGTGTTGTAGAAGACACCTCGTAGAACCATTCTAAGAGCCCCCCACACGACCATCACAAGACCTCCAGTCGGAGGTCAAATCACGAAACTATTCAAACGAACTGTGACAAATATTCCTTTGGCACCATTCACCCTGAAGGTTGTGACTGGACTTGTGTCTCATCTAGTGACTGAACTTGTGTTTTGTCTTGTGACCGGACTTCTGTCTGGTCCTGTGTTGTCTTGTGACTGGACTTGTGTCTGGTCTTGTGCCTGGACTTGCGTCTGGTCTTGTGCCTGGACTTGTGTCTGGTCTTTTGAATGATCTTGTGATGTCTTTACTACAACACTGCTGTCTGCATTGTCTGCATTTGCTAAATAGACCCTACAAGTCACGATAAGCGTAAATGACTCACCATAGCATGAATGAAACCATCCTCAGTGAACACCCACTGCTGATAGGGGTTGCCTTGCTGTCTGTAGACAGGATGAAAAAAAATTGCCCAATGCTGAGTCTCAAATAAAGGGGTACCTCGCAGTCTGAGAGCTTGTGAGATCAAACTGAGAAAAACTGACTGAATCAGCCGCATTTATGTGGCTGCCATCTTGAACTAGAAGTGAGATTATGACTATGCAAATCTGGATCTGTTGACTTGAGCTGGGTTTATAGCACTTTGCACCATTGGATATATACACAGGGATATGCTGCCAACAGACATAGCCGTAGCTCTGGAAGTCCATTTCAGACACGACCTCAATGTGTAGCTGATGTAGATTAGTCAGGCTCCTTGCCAGTTCGCAGTGCTCACTGAATACCGTGGGTTAATGGATCACAATCCAAAATAGCCAATTTGTGAATAGAGCCCACTGAGAAGAAGACTTTAAATATGAAAGCACGGGTGGGAAAAACTCTTTTTTAAATTTCAGTTTTTATCTCCCTCATTGTAACTAGGCTCCATCTTTATGAATTCAGTCCACAAATTAAGATCCATGAAGTTTCATTTTCTCTTACAGCAACATCAAATTGTTAGTATCTCAGGCCAATGTCTGGAGTTACTTTCACTTAATTGTTTGAATCTACTTTTGACCTCAAGACAAAGATTAAGGTGGAGATGAAATAAAAAAAGTGGAAAGCGCTTTATGCAAGCCGTAATAGCTATAAAAGCCCTAATGGCACATAATACATACAGCTCATTTTCATCAGAATGCGCACAAAAACCCTGGGTTTCTCTGGCAGGAGGAAGCAATTTGCACATATATTGAGACACTCAAGAGTGTAAAAGTTGAATTACAATAAACCCTGATACCTTGAATCTCTAGGGAATGAACAAAAAATTCGAGTTATCCGAAATTCGAATTAAAAAAAGGTCCCGATTTCTTTTGAAGTTAAGTCATTATTACGA